CTTCATGCGAAAAAATTTGGATATCTTCCAAATAAAGGAAGGTTAACTCTGTACAAATATGTGTAGATCATGCAAAACAAGTGACTTTCAGACACAACAACCACTTTCATATGAACATTGAATTACACGAAAGAAAAATACTTTCGAAACAAATACTTTTACATAAACACTGAATTATACTGTCATTCTCATTGGTGTATATCTGATATTTCGCCGTAAGACACTTGCCTTATTGTTCTCATTGGCACCACATCTGGATAACATAAAAAAATCACTCATTATTTCATAAAATCACGATTTCATGTCACGAATGAGTTTAATCTACTCATGTCATCGATGACAGTACGTCATTCGCTTATTCAATTAAAAAATTGTTCCGTATTACAAATTATGATAATTTGCAAGCTAACTTGATATAAATTCGGTCAAATGCATATGAAAATTTTCTAAGGAAAAAAACAAAATGGCGGGTTCACAATGGCGGACAAGATTTGCAATTATGGTCCGATTTGATTCAAAATTGATAAGTGGTGGTTTTCAGGGCCGAAAATCATGATTTGTTTGTCAGTGCAAAAAACAATATGGTGGCTCCAAAATGGTGGACGAAATCTGTAATTATAGTCTGATTCGAATCAAAATTAGTATGTGGGGATTTTCAGTAAGTGAAATATCATTTCTATACGAATTCAGCTAATCTTTTCACTTTAGCAAGATTCACCAATTACAAGGAAGCTTAGAGGTGCGGCGTTGAGAAGCAGACCTGAAAGAAGTGATTATATGCCCAAGAGAAGTTGGTGGAAGCTAAACTTATGCTATGCCCTTATACAAGTGAGTGACCTCAAAGAGGTTCGAATATGTATTTCGAAGAAAAAAGCTGAATTTTCAACAACATCGCTGTTCTGGTATACACAATGTACACATAATGAAAAATATTGCGATTCTCTCTTGCATACTCCAAGTAATTGATTTCAGACGAATTTCGGATATACTATATCTTACATTACTGTAATTTTTAGTAAATTTTCAATTTATTTTCCAAATTTAATCCAGCCCATGATTTAACTTCAACCTATCAACCACTCGATTTGATGGAGTTTCGATGTTGAATGGGAAAAATATTCGAATTAATATTTACTTCGCATTAAAACCAACAAATTCTTGTCTCTAAGCATCAATCACAAGGTCAATGCAGAAAGAAAGTGTTACGTTACAAATTAATAATTTCGTTAACTCTTTTGGAATACATATATACACGTTTTTCTTTCAGTTTCAGATTGAATTGAAATCAAAAATATCTTTGGTCTCTAGTAATGAGATCGAAAAATATTAGGCATTCGATATTGATATGCACTTTACTTTACGAGTATATGCACATTTGAATAAAGTAGTATCAAATATTGCATCAAACTTAGCATGAAAAAATTAATGAGTTGTAAATTTTTAACACAATGAAATCACTCGTCTTGAGAAATATTTAGATAGACATTTATTGATCATACACCAATTTACATTGGATTGATAAGTCAAAACAGAACAATGTTGAAATAATAAAACAATGAAACACTTTAAAACCATTTTCAAACCAAGCAACACTAAAAGTAGGTAGTACACTGTTCATTGACAGTCCGAAATGAATTCAGAAATAGTATAAAATGCCCTAGAAACATATATAACATTTCAATTTTGTTTTGAATATAAACAGGTTTGGCTGATTCTTCAAGTCATTATGTAGAATGTTAAAAAAGTTTGCCGCAGCATATTTTGGGGATTTTTTATAGGTCAAGTAGTTGAAAATTTCCAATCTGAATTGGTTTTTTTGACGGGTTGGGTAGTGGTGGACATCCGCATTTTGAATAAAATGGTTTTTATGAATGTAGGCAAATATTAGTAATGTATACAAATAGATACTCGTTAATGTCAATATTCTCTTCTCTTCGAAAACATCTCTGCAAGATTCTCGAAAATCCAGGTGGGATATCAATCGTATGATTATTTTCTGTGCTATGAAGACTCTGCTGCTACCAGTAGCGGAACCATAAACTATAATATTATGACTAATGGAAGAATATACCAATGCATAGTAAACGCTCATGAGACCTTCTTCATTTGAACATCTCTTTAAATTTTTCGACGGAAAGTAGTGCTTATTCAAGGTGGAACATAGTGACTCTATGCATTCGTCCCATTTGAGGTTTTCGTCGACGATTGTACCCAAAAACTTAGAGTCTCATAGCGTGATGATAACCAAAATAAATTGAAATAGAGTAAATATATTTTCATCAAATGGTAAACGTCTGTGAAATGCTTCGGTTTAAGTGAAACGAATCTATGAATTAAAAGTATTTTTGTGTATTGAATCTATACACGATCTAATTACAATCAAGTCACTCATCACTGAATCTGAAAGCATACTAACAGAGACTTTGACATAAGCTGTTATCATCAAGATATAACTTACATCGTCTTGATTCATTTCACTCCGAGAGTTTTATCAGAGACCAGGACTTCAAACCACATATTTTTCAGATACAATCCCATCTCTTAGTGAATGTGATGATATATTGTCTTAATGCCTATAATATTGAAAAATATGTAGGCTAAAGATAATTGGAATAATACATTTCTTTTTCAATTGCGGTAGATATTGTGAAATGCCGAATGGCTGCGGATGAAGTGCTCTTTCTGTGCTCTGCAGCGTATCCCGCCTGTCTGAAACTAGAGCACTCCCCTCGTTGTCTCATTGCCTTCAATAATGCCTAGGGCAGTTGCATACAAAACGGTAGGCACAGAAGTCAATATTTCATCTCTTTCATAGTCATACCAGATAATGAGTCTCGCGATTTGGAATAGCTTAAATTTGTTAAATAACAAATACAGGTTTTTACGATAGTTTCAAAACGTTCTGTGCATTTGTTTCATTCAGCGAGTGGAGATTATCTATTGACCAGCCTGTTGTGTCAACTCCTTTTACGGTATGATATTTCAATTCAAGTTCCTTTCGACCACGGCCTCATAGCCCGGGTTTTCCACTTCATCATCGTGACTCTGGTGGTGAAAGCCTGTTTTCTCATATTAATCCACATAGCGGTTTGATGATAAGGTAAAAAAAGTATACCTTTCATTTAACACTGACATTATGAAGTATACTTGGTTATTACCGAATGAGTATTTTATGAAACAAAAAAAGTAATGCAATATATTCCTTTCTTGAAAGTATTTAAGCTTTCAAATGTAGCAAAGTTTTGGTTCTCCCAGTTTTTTTTTCATTGAGGATGTATATTATCCATACTTTCATTAACATCTACCTATGAGATATTCTATAACTTTCGTTACATACATTTCATTGCTTGGGGTCAATGATGGTGAAAGGTTGAAACAGAATAGATTTTTTCGAGAGATTCATTCATTTATTATATGATTAACAATAGGGGTATCTGTAGAGGAGGGAGGGTAAGCACAGCACATGTCACCCATTGTACATCCACCCGAGGAGTTATCCTCCTAGGTCATCGTCCATCCTGTCCTTTCCAGGACGGTGAACAGGTCACTGGGCGATGATATCTCCTTTATATCGCCGAACACACACTCTCTTATTGACGATAACTCCGGGCACTTGCATCTTCCTCTTCACAAATCCTGCATAGAGGTGTATCCACTAGCGCCATATTATGGAGGTGTTTCCTTAGTTGACAGTGGCCAGTCAGAAATCCTACTGGTCATCGCCAGCTTCTCAGGGTCACCCAGGGTGATCCTGGCAAGATTGCATCCTTTGATTCCATCCCATGGGTGTGACATTTGGCTAGTTCCGCAACTGTCGAAGTCATCAGACCTAAGGTGCCACTGGGTCCTAAAAGTCTTAGTCCAGCCGCTTCCTTGGCTAAAGAGTCGGCAATGCGATTTCCTCCACTCCTGTTGTGCCCTTTAACCCACCTCAGGAAAATGTTATTATCTACCGAGGCTTTGGCTAAATCTTGGTGGCACTCTACTACGAGCCCTGAGGTAACACGTCTGTTCAAGGCTGATAGAGCTTGTCTGCTGTGAGTGCAGAAACGATAGGGGTAATAACCAGACCTCTTTAAAAGTTTCGACAATATTAAATATAAACCCAGCAACGTAACAATATTCTGAAATAAGCTGTTGCAATAGAAAATGGAAATGAATATTTTTTTAAAATTTTGTCCATATGGGGACTAAATCGAAATTTATATTGAATAACACAATGATAAAAATAAAAACAACAATAAAAATTAATTGGCGCTCCGGGGCGACTTCATTGATTCCAGTGGCCCATTTGCTTTTTCAGCTGCAGGAAAACCCGGAAAAACCTGCAGCACCACAACGAAATTATTCGTCATTCATAATCAAACTGGCTCACCGACTATAACCAGCTATTACTTTTCGGAAGGCGTGTTGATGAACGCACGTGCGTCTTATGTCTTCAACTGTTCACTTTTCATGGGTCAGCTGAACCACTGAGAATGTCATTGCGATCAAAACAAATCTGCGATACCATACATACGAACCTGTTTTTTTGTAATTTCTGACACTGTTCCGAAATAGAAATTAATGACAAGGAGATTGTTGTAAGGATAAGACACGTTCGGGACATCTGACTCGTAATTTCATGGCAATTTGTGGTTAATTGTTTGGAGAATAGGGTATCATTATTGCACTTCAGTTTTGTTGTTTTATTGGAAAAGGTTGTTGCTCTTCTAGAGCAATTTCACGGTGTTAGTGAGAAATGTCAGTTGGATAGTTTACTTATTGAATACTGTCGGAGTAATGTTTCTTGATGTTTTTTGGGGTTTTCAACTTTCACAATCTGAGAAAGAAATGAAGCTTGATCAATAGAGAATCTGGTTAGGTGTTATAATTTTCAAACTGAAATACTCCTTTTGAAGATATACTGAGGTAGTGAATGTTATGTTCTTCAGGTCTTTCCATCAATCCGATTTGTGTAGACACTTAAAATTAAGCTATTCTAGAGTGAAATGAACTTATTCTTAGGAGATGGTGGTGTTTTCGAATGGGGTTGAGTTTACTGCTGCTCCTTGCGTTGCTCTTTTCAAGGCGATAGAGACATTTCTCATCAGAGACAACCGAAACTGCATAAGCATCACCAAGTAGGTGGCCATCGATGTCACCGTCTGGAAAAATTTTAAATATTAAAGTACTGAAAGAACTTACGGCCGGAGTCACGATTATCGAGAACAAAATTCGAGCTGGTAGGCCGTGGTCGAATGGAACTTTTAGTGCATACACGGCACACCAGTCCTCACAATATACCACTACTGAATTAAAAATATGTAACCAAATGGTTGAAGATTCAAATTAGAGAGAGTGATTGTTTATTCCAGATTTTTGTAGTCAATGTAGTCAATTTTCCTTTGCTGTTTTGAAAATCACATAATATTCAATGAACGTTAAACGGATAACTGGTAACTGGTATCAGTTACTGTAGCAGTAACAGATGAAGCTACCGAGTAGCGAAATGCGTTTTGAATAAAATTCATTATGAAAATCCTATAGTTATTTTCATAAATAGAGCTATAAATGACTTGAGAAGAAGATTGGAAATAAATGTCGTCNTGATAGGAATAGTTCAAATTCTCTTCCATACGAACTTCAATCAATCAATGGATTTAACAGTTCGATCTGCAATAATTCTTGATTATCAAATGCACTTCAGAAACTATTCAAGTAATATGGAATTCAATAACTTCCAATACATAATTCAATCTACATGCGTTATTGACAAATTCCGAGATTCATTTTTTGTTGTCGGTAATGGATAACTTGGTTCTTGAAGAAAAAAGCAGTATGAATATTCTTTAGGTTTTTTACGCATTTTTTACCATTGAAACCACTGATAACAATCACTAGATGGTATGATAAATGCTAATGTACTAGCGATTAGTTCGAATATTCGAAAAACAAATTTGAGTAGTGAACATAACAAAATACATTTTTGAGGTTACAACAATTTCTAAAACTTGGTATAATTTGTGAAATATCAGTTCTTCGTATAGTATATAGTAGGGGAGTCCACGATGCAGAATAGGGATTTACTCGAGCGTCATAGAGACATATTAGGTTGCAAAGCTCATATGATAACAAGAAAAAAATGTAATATAATATATACCTTCTCCTCGGTGGGGAATTTTTAAATATGTGAAAAAATAGTGTTGCGTGGACATACTCGAGCGCGTCAGATCATACAAATGATAAAATACAGGGTGTTCCATTTGAAAAAGTTGAATTATGTGTATTTGTATGACCGGTTTTACCGAGCACCCTATATATTGTTACCGAAAGTTGAGAATCCAGATATTATCATAGTGATGTTGAGTAATTATTCCTAAAAAAATCCACTCAATTGCTGCAGACATGCGGGTGGTGAATTAAAATATTATTGTCTGCAAAATAGGTTTTTCTGGAATAATGCGGCAATGCCGCAATGGAAATTCGAATACAAAAATCCTCAAAAGATATGGAATCGAATGACGTATTCATATACTGGGTGTTCTATCTATTCAAAAAATATAAGTTTGGTTGGCCACGCTCGGCTGAATCACCCAGTATGCGAGAAAATAATTTGTAAAGTTAGTAGGTATTATTCATTGATATGACTGCAAAATAAATGAGTAGTTCGAAAAATTGTTTCCTCTGATAGCAACGGACCGAGGTAATCTTGTTGACTCACCCTGTATACCAAAACAAGACAGTAAGAAACATGATAGTGTAGTTTTTATCAAACTCAAGTGTATGAGATCCATCATGAATCGACATGAATCGAATCAACTTGTGTTTTGATGCCTTGAATGAAAAATGAAAGGATTTTTTTTTTAATTTTATGGCAGTAACAGTGAAAAAAGAACCGGGCATATTTCATGTAACCTTGCGATTTCATATCAAGTGCGATAGATATTCAAATTTGCGCTTCAGGTGTGGTACGGTAGCCACTCATCATCAGGTATGTAAATTCTTGTTCAATCAAAACATATCTTCAGAGATATTCACAAAAAAATATGAAGAGAACTGATGAGACATAATCAATTGTCCGAAAAGAATAACAAACACAATGGTTATGAATATCACGGATATCTTTTGAATATATCCATCATGTACAATGTTCCTAATTTAAACACATACACGTCACGTTTATCGTTAACATCATTACTAGTGATACGATAATCACAATATCGAGATGAACAATCGCATACTAACCGATGATATCAGCTTCCTGTTTATATTGGCGTATCCATTTAGATTCATTATAGGTGGATTTTTGTCTATGGCTGTGAGGAACATGTTCACCTCTTGTCTCGTTCGGTTGTCTACTGCAGCTAGAATTGAGATTTTATATGAAAAATTAAAATATGTAAAATATCATTGAGCATAGGATTTAGCATAGAACCACGGAATATGGCAAAAAAATTAAAATTCATCTGGAAATTATAAATGTTGCTGATATGAACTACGTTAAGACACCCGTGTCTGGTGGAGTGTCACCCGTGGGGTGACTTTGACTTTGAGGAATCACATCCTGATTCTGGTAGTTCTAGTGGCAGTGATAACCCAGATCAATACTTGACGATAATACTCCTGGTATTTTGGAAGATAATCTAGATCTTGCAACACTAGTAACAACACCAATAATTCCAACAGCTCCACCAAAAAAAAAACATTTTCTAGGCTGCTGCAGATGTAGTCATATGGAATACAGTAGAAGATGATAATTTTAAACAGTTACCATTTACAAAACAGAAAAAGTATTAGTTCAACCTTAAAGTAACTTCGAATTTTTTCCCTTTTATCAGATTTTGTTATTGTTTTGGGAATGAAATGAAGGATTATTTCAATTGACTGTTTGGTGTTTCCTATAAATAATAGTTCAAGGAACTGGAAACTATACAAAGCATTTGTCTCTCAGAAAGTACAAAAAAGTCGCGAATAACACATTGAAAAGAATTGACAAAACAGGAAATAAGAGTATTTTTGAGTCTTGTATTTCATGTGGACACTATGGGACAACAGGATTATTGAAGAAAACATCTGCTTTTCAACATACCCGCATTTGCCAAATATATGAGTAGAGGGAATTTCAAAATGTCTTCTTTTTTGAAAAAATCCGCAACCAAGAATGTCCTTGTGTGAATATCGACTTCCTATTCTTGAGTATCTACTTCCGGAAAGAAAAGGTCCTAACTCTGCCGAAAAACGACACGTAACATGTTCTCATGTTCCTCAAGCAGGAGGAAAGGAAAAATTCGCCCATCAAAAGTGCAGTAATTGCTGCAAGAAAAATTCGCAAAAGAAACAGTACTGCATTGTTCATCGTGTCCTGACAAGCCAGCCTTGTGTTTCGTGCCGTCATTCTCCGAATTCCATGAAATTATGTAGTACAGTGAATGTATTTGGACGTCCTACGCCTTTAGCGAAATTTTTTTAGCAAAAAGCTGACGACGTCTTAAGACGTCCTAGCTCTACGGACTTCACTTACGAGTTTTTTCAAAATTTATTTTGAATTTATTTTTTACTTTTCTCGTGTTCAAACTGTTTATTATTTCATAAAAAACTACTTCAGTCCCTGCGGGTGAGCTATCAGCCTCATACCTGTCAGCATTGAAAGTGTTATGGTGTGTGTATCCATGTCGAAGTCTGAGTCTACTCAGTGTAACTAACAGAACCTTCGAGTTACGAAAGTACTTGTCGTGTCGTAGAAAGCTTTGTCATGGTATTGTAGGGCCCTGCTGTAATGGACCTTTTTTCAGCTACTCGTAGATCATTTAATGGCTCATGAAATAAATAAAAAATCCGACATCGAGTATACAGACGAGATAGACGTAGACTACACGACTTCAACTATCCTTTCTGTAATATTGAATCAAGCAAAATATTTTCAGTTCTCCAGTTCTCCAGAGGCTAGCTGGTGTAATTTGAAAGCGATTGATTGTCTCCTCAAGAGCGGAATATTTCATGGATCTGTCTTGCACCAAAACTTTCTTCATGTTATTATCGGATATAGCTTATTCACAGATGCCATCGTACTGGGAGTTTGCTGTGGTTATTAAAGTGGGAATCTTGCATGTTAAACATCAGACTACTTCAATATCAACCAATCAAATGGAATATGTAATATGGATATTCAGAAAGTTGGTCCACAGATGATACGATTCGAGAGCTGTTCATTCCGGTATAGATAACTACAAGTTAATAATAATAATTTATTAAACCACTGTGGTATAATATATACATATGGTACGTCAATTAAATTAAACCATTTACTCTTAGTACATAGTTGAAATGAAGTATAAAAAAAATTGTGAACCAATAAAAACGATATGTAGTAAAAACACAGAAGAATAAAAATATAAACATACTTACAAAATCAATTGTCAGTAAGATATATCTTTTTTCCATCTGGGATGGATGTGACACATCATTTTGAAGCTCCTGAATTTCCTGAAGACAAACACATTAATATCGATATATCTAGAAATATTGCTTTTTATCTGCCATATGGATATTCCATATTTTTTGTTTATCAAAACGACAAAAAATGTCAGTACGACAATGAACATCATTGTTCAGTTACAATATTCTCATTTAGTTTTCGGTTCTACTAGTAGAAAGATACCACGTCAACAATCTAAAATGGTCAATTCTCGTCCATGGAAATTAAAAATTCAAGCGATTTTTATTTACATTGCGACGCGTAACTTTCACGAGACCGGAAGGATTTTCAATGAACGTTTTTCGAATCGTCCTATCTGTAGAAAATATTTGAGGGAACTTGTATTCAAATTCACAACTACTGGTATTGTACATAACCAAAAGCCCCAGGTCTTTCGTCCATTCCGGAAGAACAGTAAGTGCAAATGATTGGTGAGATGGTAGTAATTCCTGAACAGTCTACTTATTCCGTCGCGAATGTTTGTGAGGTTACTCCTTCTACTGTGTAAAGACTTTTGAAGAGAAATAGGTATCATCCATACAAAATCAAAATGGTACACCAATTAACTGAAGATAATCCTGATCGAAGAACAGAATTCTGCGAAATCATGACGGAAACCGTTGCAAGGCATCCTGCCTATCTCCACAATGATTGTTTTAGTGACTAATGTACATTTTTCTGTACGACAATGTTCACAGACAAAATTACCGTTATTGGAGTGACACCAACCCTCACGTTTTCTGGGAAACACATACCCAATATCCAGAAAAAATTAACGTTTGGGCAGGAATATTGGGAAACCATATTGCAGGACCTCTAATTATTGATCAAAATTTAACAGAGGAACTGTATTTGAATATGCTGGAAACTACTGTTGACCCTCTCATTACCCTCTCAATAGTTATTGATGGAAAACATTTTTTTTAATGACACACCCTGTTTATCCCTACATATTTCAATAGAGCCTAAAATCACCTTTCCAATAATGAAGCACTGTGAAACACACACTTTCATCAAGTAAGCTTTGGACGACGCGGCGATAACACAGAAAGAAACTGTTCAGTAGTATCTATCAAATGTTGAGGAAGCTTTTCAGAACAGTAATTAAAACGCATAGTTTCAATAAAACTGATGACAATTTATATAATATTCACTACTAATAAATGAAACTTCAACAATAATAATGAGGATAAGGATCAAACAATGAAATATATTTCTTCAGAGAAGGTGTTCGAAATGTCTACCAGCTTCTTCTACACACAAGCGACACCTTTTCTGATCGTTTTGTGCCGAGTTAATTAGTTGAATAGGAGTGAGAGAAGCAAAACTTTGCATCACTGCCGCTTCCAATTCGTATCTAGAATTGGTCGGCAATTTAAAATTAAGATCTTTCAACCTTTCCCAGGTAAAAGTATATAGGCGTTAGGTCCGGTAACCTGGCCGGCCAATGTTTGTGTTGTGAGGCGAAGCTCCATCTTGTTGAAAATATATTTATCTGAGGTCCATTAGTGGCATTTCGTCAACAAGGGGTTCAATATTTTGCATTAAAATTTATATGTGAGAGTGTCACTATAAATGAACGAGCCGATATTCCTACCCAGGAAAAAACCTGCCCGCACGTTGAATTAAAATCTTCCTTGACTTCTCTGCTCCACAATAGAATGATGATTTTGTTATGCCCAAGTATAAGAATTGTAGCGGTTGAAAATGCCGGCACTGCTCACCTAAGCTTTGTCCAAATACAATTTAACGAAAAATCATACACTCAGTTACAACTTTTCAGGTCTGATTTAATAAACTCTTCTGGTCCTGTATGGCTTGAATTTGTATTTTTTCGAACTCTTCCTAACGTTACTTCTTGGTAGGCCTGTTGATATTTTCAAATTTCGCGTTGACGTTTTGGGATTATTTCAACAGCTCCTAAAACGACAATTTCCTTCATCTCCTCATCCCTATTTTGATTCATATAATTTTGTTTTTTTTTCAAATCAATCACCATCAATTAGGTACCTACAACTATAAATAGCGCGTCGAAGGCCGCGCTTAGCTCACCTCCAGCATGGTTTCAGGGCCGAACACTCCACTCAGAACGCACTAGTCGAACTACATACTCACATATCCCAAAACATCAACGCTTATTTTTGCACCATTGCAATCTCCCTAGATATTCAACAAGGTCTGGCACGCGGGCCTGATATGGAAGCTTACCCAAACATGTCTTCCTCATCATTTCATCCGACTAGTAGCCTCTTACTTATCTAACCGACAAATCCGCGTTTAAGTCGGTGAAACAGTATCCTCCCCTTTCACTCCAAAAGCCGGAGTCCCCCAAGGCTCAGTCCTCGCTCCCTCCTTATTATTTCTCATCTACGCTCATGACGTTCACACTACCCATAAAATCCTACAATACGCCGACGACACTATCCTTTACTCTTCCGCCCCCAACACCCGCCGCTTGCAAATTCAAGCTCAAAACATGATCGACCATTTCGAGCAATGGTGCAACAAATGGCGTATCAAAATAAACCCCACTAAAACCCAAACAATCCTATTCCAACATCCTAACACCTCTACCCGTCCTAAATTAAACCCCGATAACTTGAATCTCAGACTTTCAGGGGAAAATCTCATACTCCAGGACTCGGTGTCCTACTTGGGGGTCACCTTCACGATGACCCTCAACTGGGAGACCGACCTGAGAGAGACACTGGGCAGAGTCCGGGAGAGAGCCAACCTTCTAAAGGCTCTGAGAGGCAAGCTCGGGAAATGCGACAGTAAAACTCTCCTTCATACGTATAAATCCTTCATAAGAACAGTCCTAGACTACAAAGCGATGATATACTGTACGCTTCTCCCAAGACTATCCCACCGAATCCTCACAACCCAGAGAAGAATCCTATCGATACCCTTCCCTAAACCTATACAACTTCACCAATACTACACCTATCAACCAACGATTTCAGAAAATTCAAGGACGATATACGACCAGAACGATGAGCAGCAACAACACCGATGCCATCAACACGCTCACAACGCCTTGGATTCCCCGTGGAGGATCCAGAAGGATACCCAGGAAAAAGCTCCCCTTTCCCCCAACCAGACTCCTGGGAGCAATGGAAGACCCGCCGGAGCCGATACAATTTTCCTAGGGGCATTCCCACTGAGAATCAAATAGCGGACAGCGGATAGCAGCGTCCTGGAAAAACCCGAAATACGAAGAGTTTCACCCCCGCAACCCCGGCCAAAAAACCGTACCCAAAAGTACTAACACCACGACCTCTGCAATGGACCCCGACCATCACACGGATCAACGGAACAAATTATATGAACAAGCGGAACACAAAAACAACACAACACAGACTCCAACACACAACAAAACACACACACATACAACACATTTACCCTGAAGAGGCATTAGCCTATAGCAGGGCCCCACACAAACATACCCAACAAATGAAGTATTATTAACCAAAAAATTTGAATAAACAATTTTCATTCATTCATTCATTCATTCATTCCGCGCTTAGCCCTATAGCACATTATGAATCAGAATTGCACCCCTGCGAAGACGGGACAGGTCGCTGTTAGTTACATATATTTCATGATCTAAACAACTTTATTTTATTTAAATAGATTTTTTTCATTACGTTAGTTTCAGTATCAAGGACGTCGATAACTTTTGTTGTCTATAATAATTGCTAAAATAACAATATAACGCGAGAATTAAAAAAGTATGACATCCAACTTCCAGTAAGAGGTTTATCAGAGACATATTCACGAGATGAACTCTAGGAGTGTAATTTTCAAATACACATCTTCTTTCAGAATTCAGAGTAAGAACGTAGGAATATGAAAAAAAGTATTCAACTTATTTTCATCGAATATTCCGTCTCAAATAAAAATGTCAAACTGAACTTACCCAAATTGACGTTGAGTAATCTTTCCCGAAACTCCGCTCCCATTTTATGGGAGGCACTATGCGCCTCGTTGCAAATGATGAAAAGCAGCGACATGCAATAAAACGATATCAGAAATAATCCCGCTTCTTTGAATGACAGCCCTTGGTCCAAAATCTCCGTCAGGCATCCGTAACTTGCGACTATGGTGGTTAGAAGAATTAAAATGCAGTACATGCCGTACATTCCGCTGTAAGCTTTTCCTGTAATTTTTTTAGATGCAAGTGTTAATTGGATATGAAGTGTACGTGAGTAGAGTACGAGGTTAAATTCAATTAGTCAGTTGTAGAATCGCGAAGTGTTTGTCAGTGACGTATAAAATAAAAAAGTTAATAGCTTAGAAATACCGTTCGATCGAAGATGAACAGGAATGTTATATTGATAAGTTTGTCATTTTTAACCAGTATAAAGTTCTCCATTATAATTTTTATATTTATTCAGATACAGGAGGGTGAAAATACCAAAAAAGTTGATAAATATTACTCCACAAGAAATGATTTCGTTCAATATTTGATAGAATTGTTTGATGCATATTACAAATGTAAAATATTTCCTGTCATACTTTACATATTTTGACCATATGTGGCATGAGGATTTGCTGGCCAAACATCAATGCTATGACTTGTCAGATCAGTTTTGTTTGCGGTTCTTCAGCTTCCTGAAAGAACATTCCCTGCAAGTGACTGTCGATGGATATCTCTCGGAATACCATCAACGCTGGTGCTCCCCGTATTGTCTCCAACCCTCTTCATATTATATTTCAAGGACTTATTGGAGACGAAAGCGAGAATACTTTATATTGCTTTGCCGACGACAACACACTTGTTTCGTCATTTCATTTGGATTCCAGGATATCGGCTACAGATAAACATCTTCACCGGTAGCAGGAGGTTGCAAATCCTAATGAGATTGAAGAGGTGATTTTGAATTGGGATGAAAGTAACCAGGTTCAAGACAATGCCACTAAAACCCAGGCATCGGTTTTCTGCACAAAGATAAATGTTTCTGAACCGTATCTATATAATGATATCAGGACAGACAATTCCACTTTCGCTTCGATATGTTTAATGGGGGTTAAAATAGTTTAATTGTAGATTTGACATTTCATTTCTTTTTATAGATGATAATATAAGCGAGCATACCGATTGAATTAGAAATGTCCTTAATTTTGGTAAAAAAAGACGCCATGGCTTAGCTTATAATTTACAGTGTGTCTCAAATATTTCCTTCAGAATGAAAAACTTGTTTATTATCGTTTTGTCATAAAAGTATACACAACAAAAAATATCTATGTCATCTAATCGAATTAAAAAAACTTTCCACCATACGGGGAAAATTAAAAATTAGTTATTGATGCAGTAAATTATCCTTGTATTAATAACGATCGAAATTGTTCACAGTTTCCATGCCCTAATACAACCTAACACCTATTAGATGTTAATTATGCTCTTGTAAATAAATTCTGTTCACTTTTATATTGCGGTGTTACGGGGAGATGCAACAAATATTAATGAGGCTTTTGTTGCTCAGAAACAAATGATTCGTATGCGTCATAATCTACGTCATACTGATTTAAGTAGACCTGTTTTCATAGAAGAGAAGATTCTAATAGTAATTTTTTTTATCTGCTTTTTGATCAAATAATGTAAACTTCACGGCTGGAGATAACTGTGTGAAAGCTATTTTCCGGTTTTTTTTGGTGTTCGAGTTGTTCCCGTCGTTTCGACCGCATTAACTGCGATGCTCGTATTTGACTCTGGTTTTATATTATTCTTAACAATATGAACATTCGAACTAGCATTTCGGTGATAACATATTTGGAATATTTTTTTATTGTTGACCAATCACGATCATCACGATTTTTGAGGAATATATAAAATGATGTGATTTGAAATTCCAAACTGTTACCTAAGTTTGACTTGACATGCTAATTGATTTGGAATTAATTTCTGGATAATGGAATATAGAAATTATTTTTGATGCAAGCAGTAGCCAGCTGAAATCATTAGAAGGGTATTTCTTACGAAATTTCAAAATTTGAGACATAATTAAAATTTCTTTTATTAATGGAATTTTCTTTTTTTTGTTGCTGAGATCAATAAANGTCATATGTATAACTGATTTGACCTGACCTATATCTTTTTTCTTTAAATACTTTAATCTGTCCTTTTCCCGCAGTTTTTCCAAAAATTTGGTATTATTTTCAATTTTTTCTCCCCTTTTTCTATCATACTCTAATTTTTTTTCCGCAGCACTCAACCTCATTGACCGTGTCATTTTGCTACCATATACTTGTACCTGGTTTTAATTAAATACCATATAATACCAGTTGCTAGAAATAAATAAAAAATCTAAAAGAAATATAGAATACTTTATGAATCATTCCCTCATCCCACCGTCCTTTCCTCACTCCCAAATGTAGTGAGGAAATGACCATGAGGGAATGACGAATTTTAACTAAAGCTACAAGAATACCGCTACATAACCTCAATTTGTTGTTTACATTTCGAATATGCATATTACTCCCAAAAACGCATAAAAACAACAAATAATATACATATATACTAAAATACCTAATATATATGTAACGTGAGGTAATGATCGTCATAAATGTAACTCTTAACTATTTTTAACGTAATCGCCATTTTGAAACATTTGAAAGTGTTGCCAGGTACTAATTTCATAGGGTTATGTATAAAAATATCGTTTGATACGTTCAGAAATCGAATATTCGTTATATGGTGAGGAAATGATTTCATTTGGCGGGACATATTTAAAATCGAATTATCTTTTTTATAAATCCGTCGTTGTAAAATGACAGTTTTGACATAGAATAACGCACATCTCTCTAATTCATTTGCGATACTTCATTAATAAGAAATTTTGATTTATTTTAGTTGAACAGGCATTTTAGTAATATTTTTGTACTAAGGGACAAGGTGAGGGAATGACTTTCATTGTAACAAAGTGGCCATATCTTTTTTTTTTCAAGTGGCAATGTTCTCTTTTTGAACAAAAGTAGTATTAGACAGCATGAATTGAATAAAAAAAAGACTTGCGTTGTTAATGCATATGATTCGGAACCAATGACTCGGGAATCAAATTTCGCAATTTGATAAGAAATACACAGAAAATTTACGGACATCAAGTATGAATGCCAAGTTAATACCTGATGTTCTTCACGATGTCTGAAATCACTTGCTGTCCTGGAAATTTAAATGGAGGTGGAAAGTTTAGTTTTCCAGGCTTTTCTATTCCATGTATACATTGAAATATTGCTCTATCCTGATCAGATAGCCAGTGTTACTATTCAATTTACGGTCGTGGAATCTCAAAATTTCAGTTCAAATAGATACTCTAGTTAGGTACTCACTTAAATTTAGTAGGGAGTACCACCGTAAACACTGCTAGTCTGGGCTATAAGTTTCGATTCGTGTTAAATTGACATAATATTGGTAATATTAAGTGGTTAGGCTCATTCGATCCGGAATATTTTCTAGATCATTGTGAAAAAAAAACAAATTATTTCATAAAAAATTCTAAAAGTTGTAAACAATTAAAGACCCTAAAAAGCAGTGTCCGGTTTTGTTGTTTATAGTTCGTAAACTATAAATATTTTTGAATTTTGAAAAAAAGATCCTTGAAGAGGAGGAAATTTACTAAAAAAAAGTTCCAACTCCCGAAACGGTATCTCCATTATTTATAATTTTCTTTTTTTCACAATGATCTGGACAATATTCCGAGTCGAATGAGCCTAACCACTCAATTATACTAATAGTATGTCCATTTAACACGAATCTAAACTTATAGCCCAGACTATGCGCTGATCGAAGGAACAACGGAACTCATATCCATAATGCACCTGTACGAAAGTTTCTGGATGGAACATCTGGATGAAACATCCAGAATCGAAAATGTGTTCGACCCAGCCTGAATCCTCAGAAGATTTACGGAACTTCAATAATTGATCAATGCCAACAGATGATACCCGATATTCTTCATAATGTCCAGAAACACTTACTAGGATAATATTCAAATACATACTGATCAATAAAATCAAATTAAATTTTTTTGGTAATCCACAGATTTAATTCAAGGAACGCAGCGTCATCTTGAAGCAAATTAAGTGCCCTTTCGAAGAAAGTATCAGAATAAATGTGTAAATATGTCCCCTGAAAACAAAAGTGTGTGGACTTGTGATGCACTGTTTGAAGATTTTGGTGTAGTATTGCATATTACTGGAGTTTTTCCAGCACTAAACCGTTATAGTTTTGTTCTTCCTCTTGAAGATGATCACTTGGTGATCGAAACACGTATCAAGGTGTTGAAATAACGGTTTGGTGTTGGGAAAAACTCCATTAATACTCAAAAGTCTGTGGGTTTGATGATTTTTTCATTTTCACTTACGAAACCTCACTCACTGACTTTTTTTCAGAAGGACACTCAGTATTTCAACACCCAAGAAGTCAAAACCTATATTTGATATCGTAGTGAAACATATTTTGACAGGAAAAATGTTAAAATTGCTTCATTAGTCTCTTGTTAAATGTGAATAAAATTCTGGGGGAATTATAATCCAACAAGTATCTTTATGTGAAAATATAAGGTATTCGATATTTCTGTTTTTCATCTGTGAAATACTCACCCAACTGTTGCATCATATGTGACAGATCTACCCATAAATCTCTATACTCTGCTAGCTTCGAAGCTGGGTCTGTGGATTGTAGGGCATTATGTAAGTTTTCTGCCAACCAACCAGCCACCCTTCCTTTAGCGGTGCAATTAATGAACCATAAACAGCAGAGACAATTGAGCATCGCCAAAATATGGTAATACCCAAAAGTGTGCCATAGAAGCATGTCCGGTTGAAGATAGTATTGAGCCAACATAATCACGATACCGACAATCCATGAGACTATACACAAAGAGATCGTGATGGCAGATAAATTTCGGAATACAACCGGGGTTCCCGTTACTGTGAAGTATTTGTACTGAAACGAAAAGTGAGTGTTTCAGGAAATGTAATAAAAATTATATACCAATGTCAGAAAAACTACTGAAGAAGGCATCGACTTGTGTGTAATATCTGAAAGTGAATACTGTGTGTGATACCACATCCACACAATGGGAGAATTATGAAAAAAAATTTGTTAATGCGCCAATTTGATCGTCTCCACTCTTCAATTTTGTTTATCGGATATGCCTACCTGAAAGTCAAGTTTTTTTATACTGTTTTTTTTTTGTTTTCAGTTTCTTCAACGATAAAACTGTATTGTTTCAAACAGAACATTTTGGATCCAATGATATATTGGATTTTAAAAATATGACTCTTATATAAATGATATCTCAAGTGTCATTGTTTCTTGTGATGTAAGATTATTCGCCAAAAATGCTTCGAAACATTTCTAAGGTACATTTGTATCGACAACCTTGATCTCTTTGCAAAATAAATAGAAACTATTATATTAACGTATAATTAGAATACTGAGAAATGTGAAAAGAAAAGCGGAAAAGCTGGTCCTAAAAAACCTAGGATCTTGGAGGTGAAGTTTGTGTTATGTGATGAAACAAGCATGTAAACAATCGTCAACAGTGAACAGAAAACACCTCACTTCACTATCAAAATTATTGTCGCTCATTTCAACATATTTGTTTCATTTTATTCGACTTCATCATCAACTTGTTTCAATTTAATTTCTTTGTTGTTAATGAACATAATTTGCTTGCACTGTTCTTATATTTTCGAAAGCAATATTTACATAGGTAAAGGATCATTTAGTTTTCCTGCTCTGTTTCATTAAAAATTTTATTTTGAAAAATTATCATGAATGAAATAGTATGAGGAGTTCTTATAGTTCACCTGCCGGTGAACCGAACAAATGTTTTCCAACCCGATCTTGGTTCATTAAACACCACACACAGGGGAACAAATGACGGACATGGTTCGTGCGAACCAAGTTTGGCGAACCAGGTTCCCATATGTGTAGGCCGCTTTAGCCATATCAAAAAAAATACGAAGTTTATCGTTATCTATCCTTTCGAATCTGTCACTTCAAATATAAATGATTCAGCATAACTTGTGTATGATGATTTACTATAATTATTTGGATCAATAAGTGATCTCATTCTGATGGATGTAACTTACTTGGAATTTGGTCCACATATTTTTGAACTTTGCAACTTCGGATCCGTTCGTCCAGGCCCCAATCGGTAGAAGGAAATGCGGTATCAAAATGCTCAGAAAAATTATGGCGTAAATGTATTCATCGAATCTTTTTCCTGGTAATAAAACCAACTTCAGTCTCTCCTTGAAAACAATACTGACTAGTATTGTTTCAATAGTGAATATGAAATATGCCCACAAATTTGTTGGAGATAACCACCTGAAAATTGGATATTTATTTCGATATGAATTACTTCTCTGAATTATAATATATAATGTGAAATGAGGACAATTATTGAAATACCCATACTTTACCAACTTACATAGTTTTGGACAGTAAACTAAATAGAATTTTGTTTCGGTGGCGTACAAAACAAAAGTATTATACCAGCGCCCACCCTGGCTTAACGTGCATCAGCTTCTAACTAATAATGATGACGTTTAACGAATTTCACTCAAAAAAAAAATGTTCAAAAATATACAGGGCGTTCCAACGGAAACTTGCCCTCCCCTGTGAGTCATTGTAATTTCAGTTTTTTGCTTAATATAATTGTTATTTTTTTTTTGGTTGTTGCTTGTACTTCATTTCATTGTAATTTCGGTTTGTTTGCTAAATATAATTGTTTTATCAGCTGAACCTTTTAATTTTTTAATTTTTTACAGATTCTTTCAGGGATTTCAAGTCAATTTATATCATACTAGACAATTGAAGTCCGAATTAATGAAATGCAAACAAGTTTATCTTTGCCTTTTCTGGTCGAGGTGGTGATGACATTGCTTCGTGCATCTTTAAAGCACTCAGCAGACCTGAATTTATGCAGTTGGATTTGAGTTGAAAGAGCAGGAATCGAAGTTGTCAAGACAAGAAGAATGTTTAATCAACAACTTGAAGCATGGGGCACCTGCAAGGTTCTTAAGAAAGAGGTTACCATTAATGAAATCAAGGACTTACTTTTACCCGTCACAACCCTGTAAAAATAATTTATGAAAACAAGAAGATTATGCAACAGAAGCTGCCTTATTTTAAGGAAGAAAATAGAGCGTTTTTCGAAAAATTAATAAATTAAAATTTAATTCCTTTTTATTTTTTTATCATTCTGTAATGTACTTGTACGATGTTTTGAAAAAATTATTAACTTTTTTCTATTAATGATGACGTTGGAAAATCACGAAAAAACCGATATTTTCTTAAATTGTAACACGTTTTTTGTTTTTTCGAATAAAATGTTAGTTTTCATTCATAATAGAAAAAGAATTCTTTTTTTGCAATAGAGATATTAATCTTAGCTTAGGTAATGAACACACGATTTTGTTTAAGTTTTTTATCAATTTTTTTTTGAGAAAAAAAATTGAATAACTCAATTCTCTCATTTTTTAGACTCAGCCCGTTATTGTTGTCCGGTCCTCAAATATAAATGCAGCAAGATTTAAAAAATCTGTGAAACATACAAAGCTCACAGCACAGATGAATCTTTTGAAAAAATATGAAAGAATTATGACCCTTCTACCTTGCCTTCATGCAAAGTCGAGTCGCACCAACAGTATATGAAAACTACGTTGAAATTTCATTGGTTTGAGGAAGAATGCATACCGCAATCGGTACTCGATGCAATTATCAATTGAAACTCCAGAGAAGCCCACACTGAAACAAATTTTGATTAATGAGTTTTTCTTCTAATATTACACTTTCGAATCATTATTTGCCATACAGGGCGTTCCAACGAAAATTTGAC